CTGCTGACAGTGAATGGAGTTGGGACAGGACAGTGAAGTCTGGGGCAGGCTCTGGCACCACACACCCACACTATGGAGAAGTGTGCTGTTTCCACAGCTGGGCTTCTAAAGATAAGCATAGGCAGGATGGGGCACACCACCAAAGTATAATCTAAAACATTCTCATCCTTCACAAGCTCATCACTGAGATGTTACAGCCAGGCTTTCCTCTCGCAGAAGCCAAGAGCGACAATTAACAGTAAGACCTACTGCACATTACTCAGGTCAGCTCAATCTGTGCTCACCGTTCATGAAGTATCAGCCCTTAGGTACACTGTGTCACTTAACTGTTCCAGCTCTTTTTGTGAAGCATAGGACAACAGTATTATTTTCATCCTATGGAGGGGATGACTGAGCTAAGATGACATCCGATCATGGAGACATACAGCTAGTATGTGACACAGCTTTGATCTTCTCTTTGGCTCTAAGACAAGTCTTTTCCGATGTGCAGAAGTTTTTAATTTAAAGACATACATTGGAAAAGCAGCTGTGAAATGTTCCAATGATGATGCCAATATCAAAATATTATGGCTTAAAAACGTGTAACACTGAATTCCATGAGTTGTGTATTTTAAAGATGTTGAATTAAATATTTACTATATATTTGATTCCCAGGCTGAGTTGAATACACAATGACCAACAGATGTTCCAAAGATATACTATGTATGGATATCTGTGTCTATGTGTGTGTACAAACACACATGGGTCTAAGACACTGTTTTGATAGCCTTAAACAGAAATATAAGCAAAAGGAATGTTGTATAATAGACTGGCTTAATATAAAGAAGAGACCTCTTCCCTAGTAGGGAGAAATCTAACTGAATCATTAGCTCAGTGAAGATCACTACAGTTATCACAGCCAAGTGAGAAAAAATAGTTCAAACATGAGCCAGCCCAGTTTGATTCCATGCAACAGCTCTATTTCAAATATAATATACAGTATATATCGTAAATTAAAAAATAGCTAACCCCTTGACAGATAATGTACAGTCTACAAGAAAATAGTTTTTCTGTACCATCTATCATACAGCTCATTTTCAGAGATCCTTAAAGAAATACGATAAAGACATTCTAAAGATGACTCAGTCATATAATACCAGAATACCTTTGTTCAAATGAAAACTATAAATCACACATATATTTATATCATCCATATTACATATAAGAAATCAAGTAACTATTACCCAAAAATAACCTTTGACAAAAACAAGGATGCACTGAAACAAGGATTTTCAGCCAACAAATAAGTCTCTAAATACCTGACATCAAGTATCTTCTGAAATAACACACAGTTCATAGGTACAAACAAATACATCCTTGCCAAGTCATCCTGTTCTATGTACAAGTAGTGCTTCAACTTGGCCAGTGCAGAGTTGTTTCAAGATCAGTCCTATGAATGGGGGCACAGCCAAAGCCAACAGGTGTGATACAGCGGCAGGCTGGGCTGGAAGATCCCATACGTTAAACTAGGAATGTCTTCATATCCAAGCAGTGCTCCTTATGGGTAACATCTGCCCGATGACCCAGTGACCAAGCCCGGCCTGTGTGGAGGTTCCATCAGAACACTCATGGTCCCCTTTCCTCAAGCAGCCAGTATGCCATTCGGTACGGGCAGGGTGCATGTCCCCAGAGTGTCCCTGGGTAAGGGCCAGCTTGTTTGCTGTCATGGAAGTCATATGTCATCCGAACACTATACTTTTGCTCTGGAAAGGATCCAGAGATGCATGTCGCATGTAACCAGGGATAAGGCCACGGATGCTTCAAACCGGCCCTGACTTGCAAGGTAAAGCAGGTCTTAATGGAGTGGTCTCCTATTTACAAGGAACCACATACCTCACCTACTGTCACACACAAGAATCCCCATCAGACCTTCTCCTTCCACCTGATTCACACTCAAGTCATCTCTTAAGCCATCCTTATAGAGAAAGAAATTGCAGAAATAAAATCTAAGTTTATACGTATCTGTGTGGGAAGCCAGGGAACAAAAAAAAATTAGAATTTCGGATGTTCCATTAAAATGATTTGGTAATTACTACTTAGTTTCTTTCCAGTGGGATGAAGTCCCTAATGAGGGGTATTATAAGTAATTAGACAAAGCTGTTCACTTTTCAAAATTAATCATCAATCCTATTAATTATGTCTGTATTACACATTCTATTAAATTAGCACACATAATATGAGGCCTTCACACATCAAAGGAGAAGCATTATCATTGCACATTAGCGACTTGATAATCTGGCTGAAAGGAACACAAATAGTGGTAATTACAAGACTGCTTTTAGTAGGATCACTATTTTCATTTCTCTTATGATAAGAAAAAAGGATGCTTCACAAAGTGAAAGCAGGCAAACTTTATACTTCTGACCACTTTTTAAAAAGGCCAGCTGCATGGCAGGTATGAGAACATCACCCAGGGAGGAGTCCTGCAGACATGGAGAGGTCTGCACCACGGGCTGGGCAAGGGGTTTGTGTAGATCACCTGGAGTAGAACCGGGGAAGCCAGAACCAGGAAACTTCGCAAGCTCTGATCCTCCGTGTGCTCCACACGGCCAGAAACAGTGGCATTCTGGGATCTTTCTGGAGCATGAGTAGGCTGGCTTCGCCCAGGACTGATGCCCTGCAGACAGGGACCAGGCTCCCTGGAAGTCAGGACCCCCAAGCTGGTAAAAAACCAGACCCCCAAAACAAACTGGAGAGACCAAGAGAGGAAAGCCCTAAGTTGCAGTCATGAAGTGAGCTAATGTTTGAGCACAGCGGGGCTATGTGAGAAAAGATGAAATCTAAGTGAAGTAAGTGTGATGTAGACAGAAGGGGCTGAATGACTACTTCAATGGTAAAACAACATGTTTCAAACGTGGAGATGAATAAGTGACCACAGCACGCAGTTCCTGTCAATCAAATGTGAGGCCTGCCCCACTGGTGCCCTGAAGATCAGTCAGGTTAATAGAATACAATTACATATGCATCAGGACAGGGAGGTAGTTGTTGAGAGAGAGACACCAAAACAAAACTTCCACTAAATCATTATGTCCTTATAGGAACCACAACTGAGTGAAAGTGCTTGAAATCTAACTTAAAAATCAAAATCACAAATTTGGGCCAAATTGGACTTTCCTTTCTATACTAAAAAAAAGAATGTATAGTCTAAATGATCTCGAATTGGAAATAGGGAGGAAAAGGGGGCAAAAAAGCAAAGGGCAAAAAGGATGGACCCAGAGTACTATGATTTTCTTTCCACAATTTCGATTTTGAGCTGGTGGTGTGAGTGACGGAAGTGATTTATTTTTATGATGTGGAAACAAATTCACTAGTTGAGTAATTTACTAATTACAGATTTGCACATCAGGCAGTAAAACAAAACAGAAACTTTCATCCAAACAAATATCTAAGAATTCTCAACACTGATGAGATCTGTTGCTAATTTTTTTTTTTTTTTTTTTTTTTTTT